AAATAGTTTCGAATGACAAAATTGGAAAGTTTAGGTTAGGTTTTCCACTCATGATGAACAAAGTGTAATGTAATTATCAGTCAGTTTGCCGTTTCAGAAGTAATTTATAACTCATGTGACAGATTCATTTCTTATTCTGTTTTGCTGAATTAAGCATATTCCAAGGATTCCCGATGATAATAACAAGAGTATGTTTTTGTATTCTTCCAAATTTTCCACAATCGATAGTTTTTAAAAATGCCTTGAAAGATGGCAGAAAATAAAACAAAATTTGGTTGACAATTGATCGCTTTGTGCTAAGGTTTTGTTTATCACAGTCTCACTTGTAATGCTTGCACTTATTAAACTGTTTCATTCCAGCTCTGGTGCCTCGAGATGGAGCGTGGGGTGATTGGTCCTCATGGACTGTTTGTGACAAGGGCTGTGATGTTGGAAAAAGAAAAAGACATCGCTTCTGTGACAATCCATTTCCTCTACATGGAGGGGCTAACTGCTCTGAACAACAACACGAGACAGAGGATTGCAATACTCAGAGTTGTCCAAGTGAATTTAAATTACTTTTAAAACTTTCTGTTCCTTTCTTTTTTTTGTTCTTTGATTTAACTAGTCTTCTCATATATGAACTGCAAAACAGCAATTACTCTGTGAGGCTAGAAAAATATTCTTAAAACCTGTGTCGCAATTTTTCAGTGTGATTCTTATTGCATTTTACAAGAGAAATGGAATAGTAAATTTTCTTATGTAAAATGTTAGTGCTACAAAGGGGAATGTGCCGAAATAGAAAGGGGAAATCACGGGAACAAGTCTGTTCATGTGCAAATTCCTAATCCTTTTCACATGTATCGTATTATACCTTTTCTAAGACCGAGAGTAAAAATGATCGGCTCAAAAAGTTGTGAAAGATCCTGACCTTTTGGAGTTCAATTGGCTCAAACTCTTCACTTTTTGCTTTTAGATTAAAAGAGATCTGACTTATTGGTGCCAATCCATTTACCGATTTTACTGGTACTTTTATGGAATCTGGAATTTTGTGTCTGAATTAGTAGAGAGATCAATAAAAGAACATGGAAGATAAAATCTCGTTTTATACGAGTCGTTCAGATAATTATTCTTTTATTAGCAGCGGTTACATCACCACCATCATCGCACGTCTCCCCGTTTTCATTCCAATGGAAAAATATAGCAAAAACTTTACCAATGGCAAAATAATACTTATTGTAAATTTTTATATTTGCTACTCAGAGGTGATATCATGCCGTCACCTACTACAAGTTGGCGAAGAAACGAATCACAATTATCCTGATGCCGTCTACAAGATTTACCCCATAGGTTCCCAGCCAATCATGGCATACTGTGATATGTCGCGTGACGGTGGAGGATGGACACTATTGGTTACCAGTCACACTAACAGCTGGACGGCACAGAATGTGAAATTACGAAACGCGAACTCTCCGAAGTTGACTGATGATTACTCCATCCTGCAGTATGCAAACAGTATTAAAGATAATATCAAAGTAGCTGGCTCTACGTTTGAATATCGATTAGAAGCTCAGAGCCGAGGTAATTCCTTATACTCAAGGAACCTTGTTCCCTTTCAAACGGGCAGGGCAGGGGTTGGCTAGCACGGCGAGTTTCCGTAGCCGCAATAACAAAGTGTGGTCAACATGAAAGGCAGAAGTCGTTTTTTTTCTAACAAATCGCCAAATAATGATTTCAATAAAAACACTGCAGGGGAATATGCTAACAAAGAGAAAACAATTGCACGAAATGCAATTGCTTATTAACCTTTTTTTTTAAGCTAAACATTGAGGAACACAATTCTTGTCGTGATCACCAACATGGAGGATACTATGTCGCCAAAATTTTCATCACTTACACTAAATTTCTTTTTCCAAAAAGGGTAAAAGACTTAAATGAACTAAAAGGGGCTTCATCCGCCCCTTCCCACTTTCCCTTCATTTGTTGGTTACAAAGCCCATACGTCCTAAAACGTAAGGGCAAATCTCACATCACTTGACACCGTAGTGGCTCTTCGTACCCTTTTACAGTTAACACGTTTATTTGTGTTTCGGTGGAGTTTTATGCACGAGGACACTTAGAGACCATTAAACAGAATATGAATCTAAATCATGGTCAGCCCTGGAATGAATCTGAAGAAAGATGCTTTATTTTTCAGGTCGCTGGGGAGGTATCTGGAAGGCACCCAGAGGTTTTACGTTCACAGCTGACAACAACAAACAAACGGATATTGAGCTGGTCAAGAAATTTGACAATTGGGAATATTCAGACAATGGAATTGAACAAAGAATGCCATGGATTTCTGATGCCAGGTTAACTACATCCCATGATGCTCAGCGAAATTGGTGGGGTACAATAACAGGTGAATAGGCTTTACTATTATAGAATAAACAAGCAATAGACTTCCCACGCACTCTTTAAAAAATACCGAAGGCGAAGAAAATAAATTTTCTTTCATTTAATTCTGATTTTCGAGATAATCATTGATGTGTCAAGGAAAGTCTGATGAAATATATATTTATCCTTTTACATTTAGTCTTCCTGTCAGTCGTCTAAATTATTTTTTATGGCTTGAAAATTCTTGAAAACATTTATTTTACAATTTTTCGAAGGAAAACATTCCGACAACCAATGTTTTTGTAACAAAGTTTTTAACGAAATTTTCCCACGTTTTACTTCGGGTAAAAATCACCTGAAGCGAAGTGCAGCGTTAATCTTGAGGAAAAAGGAACAGATATAGTGTATGCTTTCTCATCGGATCCTTTCAAAACATTTATTTCGGATAATAATTTGATAGTTGATATATTTTTGTAGCGGACGATATGGAATACCACCCCGCTCCATGGATCAACGGTCACCTGAAGGAGCGTCAGCCATCATATATCTGGTACTGGATGAGAGAGGGACCTCTTGAAATTCCTAGCTCATGTAAAGAAGTATACTTCAGAGGGCTCCTGACAAACCCTGTGTCAAGTAAGTCTGGATATGGTTTACGAGGCTGAGTTGTTTAATCCAATAACTCAAAATTATTGGAATAGTTCTTTGTTCAATGTCAGAAGAAATGTTTGATTACATTGGTTGTGCTTTAATTTAGCCACAATGGCTGTGATGAGTTGTGATCACCTAAATTTGTCTTCGAGCTATGAAAAAGCCACAATAGTATTTTGGTCGAAAATTTGATTTCGATAAAAATGTTTATCGCCCCTAATTTTTGTCGGTTGCCTGCTAGTTATGGTGTCCCCACGTCCAGCCTACGTCCCTTATATCCCCTTTCAACGATTCTTCTCCAAGTTTCCCTGAGACAGCTTTTCTTTCGTCGTTCGTCGGGAGTCCATCGTAGGGCGACCTTAGGCAGGGCTGAGGGTGGCATTCGAAGCGCGTGGCTGATTAGTTTTCCCAGAGTTAAGTGTAACCGTGAATTTTGTTTCTTTCTTTCTTTTTCAGATGGAGTTTTCGCGATCAAACCTCCTGGACAGCATGAAGTTAAAACGTATTGCGACTTTGCGACTGAGGGAGGGCCCTGGACCCTACTCGTGACGAGTAAGACCCACAGTGGGTGGGACAAAGACAGCATCAAAGAAAGAAACTCAAAAAAACCTTCTTTACAGGATGACTATTCCATACTGGGGCTTGCAGACGCCATAAAGGACTCTGACAAAGCTCAGGTGAATCCATCGCAATGAGATGAGTTTGACTTCTTAAGGATCGAGGGGTGATTTTCGAGGACACGCTCAGTATATTTGTCTAAGGAAAATAAATGATGATGTTTCCTTATAAATTGGTGCCCATACGAAATCATCCGACTGCTCTCCCCTTCGTGGGCCAATGTCCCTTTTGAGTTGATATATGGATTTTAAAGACGTTGATATTTTCCATGGAGACGCGATCAAAGAACAACTGTAGAGTGATTGTTGGAAGTAACCCAGGATTGCACTATAGAGGAATTTTCAAATATTTATCGCAAGAAATCCATGATTGCTTTATGATTTGGTTTTATCAACTGAGTCAATAAAACCAAATTATCGTGTTATACTCCCCAACAGACGCAGCACCACTTTTTCTCAAGAAACGTACCCCCTTCATTGATGACCGCTTTAGCTTTGCACTAGTCACTCGCGTTTTCCGCCAAATTGGTGCCCATACGAAATCATCCAACAGCTTTTACCCCCTTTATTCATGATTGCTTTAGCTTTGCCTTAGTCACTCACGTTTTACACCATATTTTGATCATGGAAATGCAATATTTTCGATTGACACTTATGTTTGTTCTGCCTTGTCTTCAAGCAGGAATTCTTTCAATACCGAATTGAGGCAGACGGCAACAGCCGCTGGGGAGGGATCTGGGAAGCACCACGTAACTATACATTCCTATCTACGTGCGACAAACAAACCAAAGTAAAAATCGTGAAGAAATTCGACACGTGGGATGAGAACAGCAACTTGGGAAAGCGTATGCCCAGACTGGGATTATCTAACGATCTTTTATTAAGCAGTGCATCAACTGTGGATTACTCATCAGGGTCCTTGGTGTATAACAGTGGCGCTAGCTCCGCCTCGTATCTGGAGCAAGAGAAGCCAAAACCGAATGTTGTTCGATACTGGATGAGAGAGGGTGCTAGGTGAACTTCAGATTTTTTTTACGTCCAGATAGTCATTTGCAGATTATTTTGATTAGCATATGTCTTAAGTTAAGGCTGTGGCCGTGGTATAAACGTACATCTCTTTTGCCAGTCATTCAATGACAAGGTGAAATTCGAATTTTCAACATTATCAAGGACAGATATAAGTATCACGTCATATGCACTGTTCAGTATAAGAGTTATATTGGTAGATCTCTTCCTTACAAAGTTTTTCTAATTGAAAAAGGCTTTTTCCATAAAATTAGATATTTATATGTAATTTCCCTAATTTCTCTGGAAGAATAGCAAACCATTGCTTTGTGAAACAAGTAGATCTTCAGCATTCACAAAAACGTTTGTATCTTGATGAAACACCAAATTATCGTGGGCGTAGATTTACCTTTGGAAACGATGACTTTTAAAAAAATTGATTGCCCTTGTTAAAAGTGCACGAGTTGTGCACCTTTAAGTTTTTCACCTTTGATTCTTTCACTTCTATAATTTAGACTCGTTCCTCTTTCAACAGGCTATCTTGTAACGATTTGAAATTACATGGAGTGAGAGCTGGTATCAAGTATGACGATAGTTTTCAACTGGTAAAAACCAGTGATACCCAGTACCTCCCAGTCTACTGTGATATGACAACAGCAAAAGGAGCTTTCACTCTTATTGTGACGAGTGCTCACAATAGCTGGACTCGAGCACAGGTCCCTCACAGGTAGTAATGGATAACATTTGCCCCTCC